AACCACAGCGTTGTGTTACGCCGTGTGTGTGAGGTTACCGGAGACCCAATCCTTCCCCTCCCCCAATCCCTCCCAAATCCCTAAATCTCCAAATCCCTAATCCCTAAAAGGTCGGCAACGCACTTGTAATTCCTCCGTTGCGAGTGTCCATGGGCGGCGCTGATTGCTTACCATCAGGTAATCCGTCTGATCATTTGCCGACCTATTAAATAAAAAAAAAAATGAAAAAGTGCCCACTGCTCAGGAAATGCCTCTTCCGAGACACGGAGAAGGATTGAACATTGATCCCACGTTTGCAAGTATGATTGGCTAAATGAAATAAATAAAAAAAACTAATTTACTTGATATCGGACAAAGCAGCACACACATGTAAAATGATGAGAAAGAATGCAACATAATCAGAAAATTAAGGAAAAATGCAACAATCTTAAGTACAACTTCAAATTAAACATAAGTTTTTAATAACTAAAACAACTAATTAAAAGATGGCGGTGCGCCGATGCCAAACAGGTTGCTATCTCAATATAAGTTCTCGTTTCAAACTTATTAGTAGTAATTGTCAGTCCTGAACTTCCCTTACGGTGTTTTCCTTCACCGTTTGTCAATTGCAACTATAGTCAGACTTTTAATTCGATTCCTGATTTGACATTGACCACTGTCATTTTGTGAAATAAAGATACCACATATAACAGTGTAGTGATGAACACAAAAATCGATAAACAATCAGTGAATCAGTTTCAGGAAGGCATTCAAAAAATTACGGCTACCGAATGGTCTAAATGTGTATCCCATGTTTTCAAAGAAGAGGAAAAAATGAGTAAGCTAGATATGTTAATTGACAATAACTATCAAAGACACAATTCATAATAAATGTTACATAGAGTAAAGGCGATAGCGATAGCGATGACGGCGATAATTTATAAAATGTCTGTTTTATTTGTCACGTTCCTTCATGATCACATTTTTTATTAATTCCACACACAATTACAAAAGAAAAGTCTCAGATCGTTAATTAATTGTCAAAACTAAATTATCAGTTCAGAAATATTTTATTTCCTGATAAACTTGGTTTACGAGAGTAAATTTATAAACGAGAGGAATCGATGCAGAAATATTCGATTTCCATATCGAATAATTTCGCAACGTCACTATTTATTACGTGTCATAACGTTGCAACACTGAAATTGTCAAATCTGGAATGGAATTAAAATTCCGAGTATAATTAAACTTAGAAAGAATAATATTATAACACGGAAAAGTTTGATTGGTACTTGCCAGGCTTATGCACGAGAAAATGTCCGTACCTAACCTACTCCACGAATCTTCCATACTATCTTTGAATTCATAAATATTGCCTCGTTAGAAAAGTCAGTTACACTGTTCATAGTTCTTTTTTGTTTTTTTTTTTTTTAAAAACGTTGCCCCCCATTAGGATTTTCTCCTGTGTCGTGAGTGCGTTTACAAACGTACAATTTCACATGCACATCACATCCAGACCCGGAACAACAGTCTGTGGATCACACAAAGAGTTGTTCCGTGCGGGAATCGAACCCGCGACACGTTGGGCGGCAGCCAGTTGCCCAGCCACCGCGCCAACCGTGCATTCAATGTCCGTGCAGTGCATGGTAATAGGATCTCGTTCAATGAAGGTCTATCATGAAATAGGATTGCGCTTGTTTTTCTCTTAAAAAAGGCACACGCTAGAACAAATTCATATATAGGTACAATCTAAAATTTCTGATCTGAAACAACGATTTGTGGATTTGTTCCGAACGGAAATTGAACAAGTGACAAGTGTGCTTATCAAGCGGTCGCCTGGCTACAGTTCGAACTGACAGCCCAACTTGATAAAATATAAAAATATTGTTTGAAGACTTTCTATAAAAAATAATTTCGGTTTGTTGTGATTTAAACCTTCGGATTTGTGCGTATAATTATTTATTTGTTTGCTTTGATTATAGAATATTAAAAAGTATTTTCTTATGTAATACGTCGGCAAACGAACCTTTTAGTAATTAGGGTTTTGGAGATTTAGGGATTGGGGAGGGATCGGGGGAGGGGATGGATTGGGTCTTCGGTAACCTCACTCACACGGCGAAACAGAACGGTTGTTTCACGTCGGTTTTCTGATAGGTTAAGTTCAAAAATAAGAAAATTAATTAACCTATAAGAAAATTAATTAACCTATAAGAAAATTAATTAACCTATAAGATATTTAAGAAGTTCTAATTAGTCAAAGGCATCGTTTGTTAATTATTTTATTCTCCTTTGCATTATAATTTCAATTGCCGAAATAATTTAACCCTAACAAATGGTCTTGACTCCTCCCGTGTTAAGTGTGGGAGATGCTTCGGTACGAATGGGTCGACCCGACCGGAGTGATACCACAGCCTCACAGAAAACCAGCGTGGTGTTTCGTTGTGTAAGTGAGGTTACCGGACACTTAATCCTTCCCCTCCCCGATCCCTAAATCTCCAAATCCCTTATCCCCAAAAGATCGGCAACGCAATCGTGACTCCTCTGTTGTGTCTATGGGAGGCGCTGATTGCTTACCATCACGTAATCCTTGAATTCGTTTGCCAAACTACCACTTTAAGAAAAATGCCAGCTGGCGATGGGGGACGACGCCCATAATAACAAAAATAAACCTACCTATGTGCAAGTGTAAAGATTTCGTCATGCACAACAATGTTTTTTATCACGATATCGATAGCGATCGATATAAACTTTCAAATGTTATTTTGAATTTTAAATTCCAATAAACTACTTGTAATAAGTAAAAAATTTCCTCCATTGTTCACAGATAAATATTGTTTATTGTCTTCTTCTTTACAAGCAAAGTGAATACTAATGCAAATCAAATTTGCAAATTAATAAAAATAGTCATAAAGCATTCCTTTATCATTCAAATCACAGTCCTTAAGATAATTTTCCTTAAATAAACATAAATGTAATTGCTTTGTTTTAAACTTTTTAGTTATTGAGATTCATTATTTTTGTCTTTATCTTGCTTCTTTCAGATTTTATAATTAAAAATAGTTAAAGCATATTATTAAAATCATATCAATTTATTTTCCTTTTGAAAGCGCGGGATATGAGCAGACGGATCACCCGATGAGCAGTTGTCGCTGCCCATAGACACCCGCAACACTCAGGGTGTAAAACAAGCTTTGCTGGTTTTTTGGGCGTTAAGGATTAAAGATGGGAAGGGAGGTGTTAGGCCCCGGTAACATCAGTCACACAGAAAAACACAATTCAAGCAGTATTTTACGACGCTTTTCTACCGCTTTGTGCTTACCGTGTTATACACATAATACATAAATATCACTGCAGTCAAGCCCGAACCATTGCTGTCGAAGCACGAATGACCCACATTAAAAAAAAAACGATTTTTTATAAATTTTTATAGTTATATCACATTACGTTTTTTTCTAATGTCGTTAAAGTAATTAGAAATTTTGATGATTGTTTATTATGTTTTCGGCTTACTCACGAGATACTCGACTACTGAGTAGCAGCGCGAGAGTCGCCACGTCGCGTGTCGCGGAATGCTGCTCATGAATATGGGCCTCTAGCATGGCTTGAAACTAGTCGAGCATCTCGTCAAATTATTACGTGAGTAAGCCGAAAATATAATAATTAATTTAGAATGTCTCACGAAAGTTATAATAAAAAAATATAGATGATTGTTTGAAAAATTAAAATTACCTATTTATGCAGCGTGCAGGTTAAGGAAAACAATTTATAACATATGAAAGCAATTTATTTTCATTACAGTAAGACTGCTTTATTTATAACTATCTATATTATTTTAAAATAATTTATTATGCTCTATATACACATTATGACGAATATTTGTGACAATTGTGTTATACATAGCTAGACTATCTTAAAACTAAGAATAACTATTTACTATTAAATATAAGAATTTACATTATATTTGTAAACGACTAATATACAAATTTTTGAAACTGAACTGAATATGGGTAACCACGGAGTTTCTTGATAGTTCTTCTCCATAGGAAACTAAACTTCGGAACGTAGAAATGGGTGCACTAAGAGGACTAACTGACAGAACATTTCAGAATCTTTTTTTCATTCAAAAATGCCTATATTAGATTGATTAAAACAAATATTTGACTTCAAGATTACACAAAGTCTATTGATAAGTATAATCCAAAATCAAGTCATTACTTTTGCCAACTAAATTCATTAGGGGTAATTAAACTTTATGTCTTATTAGCACCGACGGGGGAATACTGACAAAAAGTACAAATCTACTAAGAACCGATTTTTCAATGGATTCCGATAAATGTTAACTGAGGAATAAAATTGTTGCTGTCACTGTCTTTTACAAACATTCTGACGCGACAGCAATATTAACTATATTGCTGTCGCGTCAGATAACTTTTATCTAACCATTGAAAAATCAGCACTAAGAATATATAAAAAAGTAAATTTTATAATCTGAATTACATTAAAATGATATCGCAAAAGCTTAGCTAAATATATGTTTGTTAGATGCAATTTATTGAAGTACTCAAATTTTTCTTAACCTTTGAACACATTATTAAAAATCACCAACTTCAATGTGTAACAAGTCACAAAACTGAACACACTGAAACTGTGAATATGCATAAATTAAAATGAAATAAATGGAAAAAAACTACTAAAAGGAAACAATAAACTCGTATAGAGACAGTGTCAACCTATAAGCTTAACTAATAGATTTAAAAAAAAGCTTTAATCGCTCTCCTTTTTACTGGTACTGGACTGGACAATATACTGTCACTTACTTAATAGGTAGATATTAATCTTATTAATAAGTTTTTGTACTTTCTAATTTATAAAGCATATTTACACTTTTTAAATGTCTATGGTACTGTATTAAATTCAAATGAAGGTACGTCAAAAAAGTTATTGTTACAACATGTTTTTTTTTATTCGTCGAATCGTTAAAATAATATAATATTAATTAATTACTCTTTCTTCAATTCGTAGTGAAAATAAACGGAATTTATTTATGACCATTTTCAAAAGTAATTATGTAACCTAAGCAATTAGGCACCTTAGATATTCAACAAAATTAATTCATTCCTAGAATATAAGGTTCTAGACATAATTATCATTAATGTGAATCTTAAGCCAATTTGTGGTTATAAAGGCTAAGTTTATGATCTCCAATCTCTTTGAAATTGAAATTTTATAGGTACACATTAGTCAAAATTATATTAAATTTTACTTACAATAAGTTACGGGTATTTAAATTAATTTAAAAATACGCGTGGTAAATTGACTTGTAGGGAATCACAACCATTCTCTATTACTTATATAAAACATTAAAATATTTGTATATATGTACATACGTTTGGAATGCACCATCCATTGTACTTCTATGTACTACACAATCAGGCAAAACTGTATGACTACGTACATTCTACAAGATTGGGTGGTATCATCCATCCATTACAATTCACGTATTCACGTCAAGGTTGAATTTTCAAATAATTCATGGTTCTCAATGCTATGACCTCCGAAATCTTCAATCATTCCCTGGACGGAAACATAAGCACCAGAGAAAAGCGCTATAATGGAAATTATTCCTATAAGTGTGTTCTTCCAAAGAATATAATTGAAACGACCTAGACGATTCTCCCATCGGTAGACTGTGTCCACTACTGCTGGGATGAGAAGACCAAGGGTTGAGAAGAAGACTGCTCCGACGAAGCTGATGACTAGTTCCAAGTTGGGGAATGCTGCGGCGATGGCAACTGTAAAAATGGAAAACATTATTTTTGTATATGGCACTCAAAAAATATCTGTTACGGAACTCTGAATCATAGTTCTCGGGACAGTATCATTGCTGAAGAATAGATCATTATTGAGAATATGACTGCATGGTTGGTGCAGTGGCTGGGCAACTAGTTGCTGTGCCACGTGTTGCGAGTTCGATTCCCGCACGGAACAACGCTATGTGTGATCTACAAATTTCTGTTTCGGATCTGGCTTGTGTTTGTAAATGAGTATGTTTGTAAACGCAACCACAACACAGGACAAAATCCTACAGTTCCCATAGCAGGCTTTTCTTCAAAGTTTTTTCAAAAATGATAAAAAGTTTACATGGTGTTTATTGACCATTGTTACCTGAAGGTAATAGATTAGATTAAATTATAATTAAGTACATATCTCTAAGAACGACTGGCTGACCATTAATATTTTTAAAACATTTGAATTTAATAATTTCTAAAGTAAAGACACTAGAGGAGAAATTATTGTATTTAATTCAACCAGCATTTGCTATATATATATATATGCCCGCTTATATCACTATTAATAAACATGTTATCTGAAAAAAAATGCAAGTTTTTAGTCTTTATAAAAATAGATACTTAAAATAGAAATCTTTAGAAAATAATTCTGTACGCAATTATTAATATCAAAGATTAAAAAGGTATTTTATTAAAAACATAGTCCACCAAATAATATCACGAATCATTTTGAAAACTCTTTAAGTAATAAGTAAACGTAATCTTAATATTTAATCTTAAGTTGTGAGGTTTATAAGACCAAGAATAAAGAGCTTAATCCATAAAATACAATTGTATTTATATACCAACATCATTGATATAAAGGCTTCTTTAGAAAAGCGATGATCCTAAAACCCTTAAGTGTGGGAGAGCCATGTTTCGGCACGAATGGGTCGGCTCGACCAGAGTGATACCACAGCCTTACAGAAAACCGGCGTGAAAAAACCACAGCGTTTTTTCGCCGTGTGAGTGAGGTTACCGGAGGCCCAATCTCCTAATCCCTAATCCCTAAAAGAAAGGTCGGCAACGAACTCGTAACTTCTCCGCCGTTACGGGTATCCATGGGCGGCGCTAATTGCTTACCATCAGGCAATCCGATAACTCGTTTGCCGAACTATCACATAAAAAAATCCTCTTTAATATTATTAAAACAAAAGTGAGTTTGTTTATTTATTTGTTCAGTTCAGTTTCAGTTTATCATCTGTTCTAAAAACTTTGATTTTAGAACTTTGGTTTATACAAACGCATACGCGGTTTTAAAAACAGCATTTTTTTATTATTTTAATTTAATTTTAATACTAATCTCTTGATTGACATAAATACGACGACCTGACATCAGCCTTAATTTGGTTTCGTATCTACTTATACAGAAAAAACTAATTTTAAATTAACTTTTTGTTATTAAAAATCGTAATCGTTGCTTTTCATATCTCTATTTAGTCAAAAAACAAACCCTTTTGAATATTTTATTTATGATTGGACACCTGGATTCTATTTTTAATTTAATGTTTTATTTAAATTGCTTTTTAAATAACTCAGTTTCTGAAATGTACTGTCAAGACTGTTCAATTATTAAATTAAATTATTAAATAGTTACATGTTTGATAAGGGTTCCTAATTGTATCACTCATTTAATGAAGCTTGTCGCTATCACAATATCATTGATACTACACATAGCACTAAAATATCTGACTGGGTATCAAAATTCGTCATTAACACTTAGAACGCCATGTCGGACAATGCTGTCCGACGCTAGCGGAGAATTAGCCTTCAACAGTTTTTGTCGGCAGTCAAATGCTTAAGTACACTTTCAGCTAAATAACTAAAAAGTATTACTAATAGATGTTTCTTTTTATTATTTTGTGATACAACAAAACAATGTAGACAAAATGAATTTAAATTTCAAATTAGGAGATCGCTACGTCATTGCTCAGTATAAAATTTTGGTACTGAGCCGTGACGTTTCGTTGAAGGTATTTATTCGCGTAAAATAAAGGACAACAAATAAAATATATTTAATAAAAAAATGTCCTCTCTATTACAATTTTAGGACATGTTATGCAACAATGAAACTATAAATTCATTTTTGCAAATGGGTAATAAATACAACCCTTACATAGTTTTTTTGGATATTTTTTATACGTACCAGAATATACAAAAAAAAAATATGTAGATGAAGCTTCTGTTTTAATGGTAAAGGAGAGAATTGATAAATCCCACGTAAAAGTAAAGATAATTAGACTAATCTGATTTCAAATGACCTTGAAATTAATTGGGTCAGTCAAAGAAATAATAATGATATCGGTACAAATACACAAAATAATTTCATTATCCAAATGGCAAGGACTGATACAAAGTGTATTCTTGTAGTTTGAATTCTATTCTCAACGAATTAGAATTCAATTTACAGTGAATATTTAGAGTATTTTGAATTTAATTAAAGTAATACGTAAATCCCAATTCACAGGAGAACCACTAAAATATTCTAACAACATAGAAGGGACTAAACATTGCAATATAGACAGCAATTTCAAAAGTCGGGTCTAAATCCCAATAATTGCGTCACATCCACGAGATTACTACTGGATGACTAATTGGCCTACAAATTGGTCGATTAATAGAAGCTTTAGTTGGAAAGGAAAAAGTCGGTCACAATTTTGATGATATATTTTTTTATATGATAGGACGGCTAACGAGCGGACGGATTACCTAATAGTAAGCAGTCGGACATCCGCAACGCCAGAGGAGTTACGAGTGCGTTGCCGGCCTTTCAGGCATTAGGATTTCGGAGATGTAGGAATTGTAGGAAGGATTGGGCCTCCAGGTAGCCTTATAACTTCCCGTTTTTCCGATGCTCACAGATAAATGATTGCAATAAAATTGATATCCACATTAACACATTAAGCGCCATGGGGGTCACCGGTGACCTCCGATAGCGAAGGATTTGCCTTCAATAGTTTTCGGTCGGCAGTCAAAGGCTAAAATAAAAAGTTGTTACTTTTATTTAGACAACAAAACTTTTTTAAACTTTGCCTTACACTAGCCTTTTTTGGTGTTTTGTACAAATTGTTTACAAATTTTCAGATACATGATTATGACACAAACAGTTGTTACGTGCGGGAATCGGCGTTGCGTTCGCGTATACCTCAGCTACTAGCCACCGCCATAAACGTGCACTCAAACTCAATTCGTTCAGTAAATCAATCCATATTTGGTTCTATTACTTGAGATGCATAATGACATTATGAAAAGGAAATATTACTAGTGTCAAAGTACGTAGCTCTTTTAAGCCTAGCGTATTTTATGTATTTTTTTTTATATTTTTTTTATGAAAACCTCACCCCACATTAGGATTTTCTCCTGTGTCGTGGGTGCGGTTACAAACATACAATTTCACATACACATGACACCCGGAACAACAATTTGTGGATCACACAAAGAGTTGTTCCGTGCTGGAATCGAACCCGCGACACGTTGCACGGCAGCCAGTTGCCCAGCCACCGCACCAGCCGTGCAGTATTAAAAAGTTGTCTTCTCACCTGAAATCGTAACCATCACAGTTCTGATGACGACCTGGACCAAGTTCTCATACTTCGACTCCTTTCCTTTCCTCTTCCTGGTGATCATTTCCATGGGTACGTAGAACTGCAGCCCAAAAGACAGGAAGATCACGAAGGCCATCAGTCCTTTTGCTACTTGGGCGGTACTGCAAAGAGGAGTAGGAGAATAGTGTTAACATTTTTGACAAAGAAGTGTTTAAGCGAATAAAGTTGTTTTTTGATTGTGGGATTAGATTTTAACTAAAACGACGTGATTTCCTTACACCTCTTATATTTGAACTAAAAAAAGTTTACGCAGTGTGGACTGTATACACATAGGTACATAAATATATCTTCTTATAGTTCGAGTACAATTCTCTTTGGACATTCCGCCCACCAAAGAACATAGTTCTTTAATTACAAAATGTTAATAACAAATCAACATAGATAAACTCAGTATAACTAAACTTAAACTTAATAGTGTTCTAACATGATTCTTGGTTAGAAACTCGACACACTATAGGTACTAACTCAATAAGTAAAAGGTAAACAAATCAACGAGCAATAAATGCCCAAAGTACATAAACCAACACCTTACAATACCTTGTACATAACACAAAATAACAAGATATAAAATCTTCTAAAAGTATACAACTCACAATCAAACAAATATAAGTATAAAAAAATTAAACAAGTAATAAAAGTCTTGCAAAATGTATATAAACCAACAAAAAAAGGGTAAAGGTACTTATGTAAAAATATAACTTCAACTTAACTTAACCAAGTACATAAAAGGAAGGTTAGTAAATCTAACCAAAAAAAAAAAATACATTTTACTTTGTGACACAAATTTTACTAAGTGGACGTTTCAATTGTCCAGTTTTACATTTAACTGTCACGACACGAGTTATATTGTCAGGGCCTGTATGTGTCTGTATAATTTTACCAAGTAACCATTTTGCAGGAGGAATGTTGTCCTCTTTTAATATAACAACATCTCCAACTTTCGGTTCAGAACCTTTTGAGTTCCACTTATATCTCTGACTGAGACTTACAAGATATTCTTTTGACCACCTATTCCAGAAATCATTAACAATTTTTTTTGTAAGTCGCCATCTGTCTAAGCCTAATACATTACAGTTAGAACAATCTTGATCCACTATATTTAAAATTGGTTCGCCTACTAAAAAATGGCCTGGTGTCAAGGGGAGTGGGTCATTTGGATCGTCACTAAGTTGAGTTATAGGTCGTGAATTTAAGCACGCTTCCACTTGTGCCAAAACTGTGGCCAATTCCTCATACGTGAGAGTGGCGTTTCCTACTACCTTTCGCAAATGAGTTTTGGTACTACGAACGCCAGCCTCCCACAACCCTCCGAAATTTGGTGAATGTGGTGGTATGAAGTGCCATGTCGTTCTCTCTAACGTCAGCAACTCCGCGATCTCCTTAGGAACAGTTGATTTGCCGGCCTTGAACATATCCTGCAATTCTCTGTCAGCGCCAACAAAGTTTGTGCCATTGTCGCTAAACAAATCTTGACAGTGGCCTCTTCTAGCCGTAAATCGCTTGAACGCTGCTATGAAACCTTTAGCAGTCAAGTCAGTAACCGCTTCTAAATGTATTGCTCTTGTTACCATGCACACAAAAAGACAAATGTAGCCCTTGTATGACTTCGCTCCTCTGCCTGGTGAGAACCTGATGTTCACCGGACCACAGTAATCCACTCCTGTAGACTTGAAGGGTTTACTGGGTTTGACTCTTGCCTCTGGAAGAAGACCCATGAATGGTATACGCTTCTTCGGGGAGTATCTAAGACAAACGACACATTCTCGATAACATTTTTTAACCTTTTCCTTTACTCTTAAAATCCAATATTTTGTTCGCAAAATGTTCAACATAAGTTGTGGACCTCCGTGTAAAGTTTTGATATGAGCGTCACGAATTAGAAGCATGCTAAAATGATTTTTAGCAGGCATAATTATTGGATGTCTCGTATCATAACACACATCAGCTTGTGTTATACGACCACCTACTCTTAATATTCCCTTTTGATCTAAAAACGGAGAAAGAGTTCGTATAGGGCATTTTTTCGGAACACATCCCTTGGTGTTTAGTTGATTTATCTCAACTGAAAACTCGCGTCCTTGAATTAACTTAATAACTGACAATAAAGTTTCATTTAGTTCAGTTGTAGTAATAAATGGAGGTAAACTCGGTCGTCCATTTTGAGGTAACTTTAAATTCAGTATTCTTCTACAGTATGATATTACCTTTAATAATTTTGACAATGATGAAAACCTTGTCCATATACATAGCTCGTCAATATTAGATGAAACTATAAGAGATTTGATTTTTTCCTCTTCATGGGTATCAATAATGTTTGTCTCATTCCTTTGTATGTCTGTTTGTGACAGCCACTCCGGTCCTCTCCACCACAATGAATGGTTTGCTAAATCTCGTGGTTGCAAGCCTCGCGATGCACAATCAGCAGGGTTCGCATCAGTAGAAACATGACCCCACTGCTCATAATCTAAAATGTTTAATACTGTGGACACTCGGTTACTTACAAAAGTAGTCCATCTGCTTGAACCACCTTTGAGCCATGCCAACACAACCGTGGAGTCTGTCCACCCATGTAAATGCTCCTTAGATATTTCCATAATCTGGGACACTTCAAAAATTAGTTTAGCAGCTAAAGTTGCGCCACACAGTTCTAATCTGGGAATTGAAATTTCCTTATCAATCGGCGCAACCTTCGTCTTTGCAGTGACTAAATGTACATGAACATTATTGAACTCATCCATAACTCTTATGTAAACTGCAGCTGCATATGCTGATTTTGAAGCATCAGAAAAAACATGTAGCTCAGTTTTAGAATCTCGCGTCATGTTTAGCCATCTCGGAATGGTAAGTTCCTTTAAATCCTTGAGATCGCTCTTATACACCGACCACTGTTCGAGTAGGTCTTTGGTTAAGCATTCATCCCAATCAAGGCTTGATTTCCAAAGTTTTTGAATGAATATTTTGGCAATTACTACCACTGGGGCAATCCAACCTAATGGGTCATACAGTCTGGCTATAACAGACAGAATGTGTCTTTTAGTGATCGGCTCTTCGGTTTGAGGTAAGTTAAGTACATATTCAAAGTTATCAGATTGTCGACACCAACCGACTCCAAGAACCTTGATTAAATCATTAAACTTGATAGGCGTTTTCTGGTCACTCTCTTGCTCTTCTTTTTTACCAATTTTTTCCAGAAATATGTTATTGTTACTGTTCCACTTTTGAAGTTCGAACCCACCTGATTTCATTAAGTTATTCATTTCATCGTGTATTTGTAATGCTTCTTCTACTGTTTCACTTCAAATACAATCACGCTATTATCACTGGAATCACTGGATCATAGCGTGATTGTATTTGAAGTGAAACTCTGTGTTTAATTCTCGTATGACCATCGCCTAGCCCTGACACAAAACCATTTACAGGAATTCTAGTTAAGCCAAGCAATTGAACAGTAGCCTCGGTAACTAAAGAGGCTTGAGACCCCTGGTCTATTAAAGCTCGTATAATTTGTGAAAAACCATTTGAATTAAATACCTTGACTCTGGCCGTAGCAAGCAGCACTCGCGTGGGCTGCAGCTCCTGCCTAGTAAATGTCGTAGTAATGCGTGTGTCACCTTGTGATGTGCTCGACTTCTCGTGTTGCTGGCTCGATGACGCTGTTACCTCACTCATAGATTTGGTTGCCTCGTTGTTGTCTCTCTCGAAGTGTAGCAAAGTATGGTGTCTTCTACCACATTTTCTGCAGCTCAATGATTGACGGCATTTGTTCACGGAATGTGTGGGAGCCAAGCAGTTGAAACACAACCCGCTGTTTTGCACAAAGTTTTGTCTTTCCTTCGCCGTCATTAAACCAAACCGTTTACAATGATATACGTAATGATTCTCTTTACACATGGCACACTCAACTTCTTTTGTTCTAGGTTTGTTTTCCACAGACGCGTGAAATGATTTTGGCTTTTGTACAGACTTCGCTGCTTGTGTTGATCGTTGAGCGTTGGCATCATCAATCATCTCTAATGACCTAAACCTGTACTCCAAATAATCTTTCAATTGTGGCCAGGTAGGAAAATCATCGCTTGAAACACTAAGTTTTTGTTCCCACTGTTTTATAGATTCGTTGTCTAACTTTGCAACAGTTATGTAAACAATAATTACATCCCATGTTTCCGTGCTAAGGCCTATACTCTCGAGTGACTTTAAACACGTTGATGTGGTGTCAAGTAATAGTTTTATTGCATAGGCCGACTCATTATTTATTTTCTTAAGAGAAAACATCTTTTTTAGAATAGCGTTGCAATTGTATCGCTTGTTATCATACCGTTTTACTAGTTGTTTCCATGCTTCCTCATAATTTGCTTCAGTCGTTGAATAATTACGTAATAAATTTAAAGCTTCACCCGCTAAATTACCTTTTAAATAATGTAATTTTTGAACAGCTGTTATGGATTTGTTCTTATGAATTAATGACGAAAACATATCATAGAATGTTTGCCATTCTTCGTATTTTCCTTCAAATTTAGGTAATGTGATACGCGGTAGCTTATTATCATTAAAGTTATTATCGGTAGTAGTAGACGTCATAATGGCGGTTGGCACTTGAGACAATGGCGGTGGCATAAACTGCTGCAAAGCTTCTCTTAAACTAGTTTTGTATTGCACGTACAGTTCCTCAAAATTCTCGTAAAAGCCCTCGGTGAAATATGTTTCTTTCTTCTCCTTCGAAGCCTTTGAAAGGATAATTTTATGTTGCTCTTTAAATTCTTTATACTGTTGTTCAAGTACCTCCAATCGTGTTTCTAATATTGTCTTTTCATCCTATCTTTGGGCGTTTTCTTAAAGTTCCGCTCGGCTTTTATTAAGTTGTTCATTAACTCATCTTGCAACTGAATATGCACCTGCATTGTTATTGGTTTGTAAGGACTGTAGTTATCGTAATCCCACACACACTCACTATAAATTTCTTGACCTTTTAATACCTCCAAAAGTCTAGTAATTCACTCACTCAATGTCTTGTAATTAAAAGGCCACACTTGTTTAAATTTGTTCACAAAATGTTCTATTCACTTAAAAGTCAAGTAATAACTCCTAATTATTTGCAAGACGT